TAAACCCAGGACATCCTCTGATAACCTGAACTGTGACTAGCTCCTCAAAATTGCCCTCAAGTGCTGTAACTTGATTTTTGCCCCCAAATCTTCCAGCCTCAAAACCTAGCTGCAGTTTCATGTGCTTTACACCAACACTTCAGGCTGTGTAGCCTAAGCCCAGCTGAGCCTGGTCCCTAGAAGGCTTCACAGATGTGCCTGAAGCTGAACACAGCAAAACCACAGCTAAGAGCTATCTTCCCTGCTTCTGTGGACTCTTTTTATCTTTTTTTTTTTAAAAATCTCAGGGCAGCAGATGAGACACATTGACCTGGGGCCATCCCTGTGCACACAGGCATGTCCTCAGCACGCAAGTGACAGGACAGGGAGCACCTGATCCCATCATCACATTGGGTTGAGCCAGCTGTCCCTGGGATCACTCAAGCAGGAGCCGTGGAAAAAGGCAGAGGCACAGCAAATACACAACGTACAGGCGTGACAGCGGGGGAATGAAGCGTGTAGGGTCGCATCAGCACGCCCTCGAGCACCATGCATGGTCTGCAAGCCCATCTGCAGGAGGGAAAGGCAGGCAGCACCTCCCAGCTGGGCACTGATGCTGGGAGCCAGCAGCACATCCAGCAGTGCTAACCCTGAACACCTTTATCCTCAGGCTGTGACATCAGGCACTGCCACACTGCCCCATGAGCCTTCCCTGGAAATTCTTCCCAGCAGCCTGTTCGCCCCAGAGAGACAAATCACAGCCTCCACAGATTTAGTCCTTGCTCTGGTTTGGCCATCCTTGGGTGCTCCCTGCTTTCAGCAAGGCCTTTTAAGCTGTCAAGTCCCAGCCCTTTAGCAGAACAGCAGAGCGATGCAAGACATAAAGGTCAAAGCAAGCCAAGAAACGTGGCATTTTACAAGAGGCTGAAGGAGCCCAGCCAGGTCCAGACCCTCCTCGTAATCTGGGGAGTCAACACCCAGATCCTCAGTACCGACTTACTGAAGGGCTTTCCTACCCCCTGTTAAAACACATAGCACGAGCCTGCTGAGGATTGTTCCAGAGACCCTCAAAGACTGGGAGCCAATGAGCAAATGCTGGAGAGTACAGCTCAAAAAACTTTGTAAAATTTATCACCCTACAATGGTCGAACTGAAGACATTTCGATACATCCAGCAGAGAATCCAGAACACTTGCCAGGGTGGCATCTACTCGGGCATCCACAGTGGGGTGGAACTAGCAGTAAGAATAAGCTGCTGTACAGAGGGTGACACATCACTGCTCACGAGCCAGATCATAGAATGATTTGGGTTGGAAGGGACCTTAAAGGTCGTCTAGTTCCAACCCCAAGTGGAAGGGACCACCTTCCACTAGAGTAGGTTGCTCAAAGCCCCATCCAACCAGGTGCATGAAGCTTCTCAGCAAACGGAAGAGGACCAGGATTCCTAAATGAGCAGGGCGAGTATGTGGACACAGACATGCTGGGAAGAGTTATCCAAATACACACAAACACAAACTTTGAAGCTGTGGGCACAGAGACAGAGGAGACAGGCACCATTATCATGCTCACAAGGTACCTGTGGGTATCCCAGCAGCAACCACAGCTTTGCATCCTGATCACTGTCACTCTTATGCAACATCTATTGTTATACGGGCTTTCCTGAAAATCAAGGTGTTTTCTCTCTGAGTATGCAGAAAAGTTTCTCCACGGTCTGACAGCAACAGAAAATATCAGAGAGCTCCTAAAGTTTTAAACCATATGTTGATTCACAGTGAAATTACCACTAAATCTGAAGATCTTTACAAGCTTTTTGCCTTCAATAAACTTCCTTTTGTTATCAAAGTCCGACAAGTAAATTTTGCCACCTAAATCTGAGGAGCTAAGAGAAATTGTTAACAACTGATGGTGGAAAATCTTGATATAGTCTGCCACTGACTTCTGGGCACCCCCTTCTTTAGAAAACAATTCTCTGCAGAGGTCTGTTGTGGGCTGATCTGTCTGCAAAGCCCTGGAAATGAGGGCAGATCTAGTGAGACTTGTAAAGTTATTGTGTTCACACCTCACATATATGTCTGCAAACATATCTATACTTATTCAAAGGGAAGAGCTAATGCCACAGTGCCACAGACACCCCATTCTTCAGAAAGACATCTCTTTTTTTTAAAGACAGCTATGAAGCATCTTCCTCTCCGAACTACACAACATGAAAACATTGAGAAAGCAAAAGACAACCTCTTAAAAAGCTGATGGGATGTAGATCCTGGTGAGCAAAGCCAAGGGAGTGCAGCTCTCTCACAGCCTGAATGATCATCCTCAGAGCATCTTTGTAAGACATTTGGTCCTCTGGTTCCTGCAGATGTTCTTCAAGGTTTTTCTCCCAGAGGGGGAAGCACAAATACGTGTAGCCTCTTGCCTTCTCGGACCGGAAGAGCTTCAGTAGATGTTCATAGTCATCACCTTGTTCCAAGAACATTTTCTCTTTGTCACCCTCTGTACAGCAGCTTATTCTTACTGCTAATTCCACCCCACCGTGGATGCCCAAGTAGATGCCACCCTGGCAAGCGTTCTGGATTCTCTGCTGGATGTATCGAAATGTCTTCAGTTTGCCCATTGTAGAGTGATAAATTTTACAAAGTTTTTTGAGCTGGACTCTCCAGCATTTGCTCATTGGCTCCCAGTCTTTGAGGGTCTCTGGAACAATCCTGGCATTATACTAGTGAAGAAGACATGCCATGTTATGAGCAAGGTTCTACTCGCAAGGTTCTATTTGCAAATAAGGTTCCCAGCATCAGTCCTTGCTCCTTTTTCACGCAACAGCTTTGCTATATTGTAGTCATTTTTCTCTATGGGCGTCACCAGTGCCATGTTCTCCTCCTCATCTGCATCGTCAATATCTATTTCACTCTTTTTCAGTAAAGCTTTCACCAAATCTGGGTCCTGTATTTCAACAGCTAGGATGAGGGCAGCTTCCCCACCTTCACCTCTGCTGTTCACATCCACACCCTTGTCCAGAAGGAAATGCCTTATGGAAGCACAACCAGCCTCCCTGAGGGCATGGATCAAGGCATTCCTATCTTTGTTGTCACAAATGCTCAGGCCAGCCTCCATCTCTTGGACAAGAGTTTTCACAATGGAGAAGTAGCCCCTCCTACAAGTGCTGTTGCCCCTCCTTTATGCAATTTTGCTTTCTACTGGCTAACCATCCTCCTCAAATTCACACTTGCTCCTTTGCTATAGAGGGACCTCAGGGCTCCTTTGTTATAGAGGGACACCATGCAGCCTCTCCAAAAGCTGTGAAGCTATTGTAGTCAGGGTGATCAATATATAACCCATGACTGAGGAGGAGCGCCAGTACGTCCACGTCTCCCACGATCGCTGCCTCAGGAAACATGGTGCCACCATTACCCTTCCTGGCACGTGGGCAAGCACCCTCATCCAGCAGAAGCCGGGCCAGACCCTCCTTGTTAGCTCACCCAGCACTCTGCAGTGGTGTCCAGCCACTCCCTGCTTTGGACTTCACATCTGCCCCTTTCTCCAGCAACTCCAGCACATCTTTGCTATTACTGGTCCTCACAGCAACATTGAGCTTGGAGGCAAGGCCTTCTGCTGTCCCCGTGTTGGAAGGGACAGGTGCCTGCTGCTGGCTCTGGGCTCCGTGACAGTCAGAGGGAGGGCTCTGTACTGCTGGTGTTCCTCACCTGAAATCCTACCACAGGAATTCACACATTATGGAACCCAGGATGCTCTTGCTATAATCGTTATCTCAGCCTGATTACAGGTTACCTAATAAGCCAACCCTTAGCGACGTTTTCAGGGGGAGAATGCAGCAGGCAGACAGCGACGAGCGTTCCTCTCCAGTTTTGGATGACAATCCCTGATCTGATACCTGGAATAACACAGAAAGCCGACCTTAATCCCTCCTGCTTCCATGGGCAATTAGGAGGCCTTACCTGACCGGAAGCCTTTCCTAGCTTTCCACGACATTAAGAGGTTAATCAGGTAGGACTTGATCTATCTATATCTGTCTAGTATCTAGAAAAGCTGGAACTCCAATACCCATTTTCCTGACTGCAAAGGCTGGCTCGAGCAAGCAGAGCTTTCAGGAGCCACTGTCTGGCAAGCTGAGCTGGAAATAAATCATCTAAACAAATCAGAAAAAGGACAGGGGAGCCCTAAAGGGGTGCGTGGATGCGGTCCCACATATGTTTTCCATGCATATGCCCATCCTTAGCTACTCCTGCAGTGGTTGCTCACACCTGCATGCCAGCTTTCACAAACACTCTGTCTTTGCAGGAGTCGCATCTTTGTACCTGAGCGGCACATTGAGCATCCCGCTTCCTACAGGCTGCAGCACATCCTCAAGGTCTGGGAACATCCCACAGCCTCTGGATGGAATTCCACGGAGTTTGTGTTGCCACAGGAGACTTCTACACAGCGCTGCAGGGACAGATTGTGAAATTTCAGGGAGTAATCTCGTATCTCTCTCAATATCCCAAGATGTTTTATTCTCAGAAGTCTGCTGGGCTCGGCAGCACCTCTCCCAGTTCAACCAGAGCTGAGGCTCTAGCTGCCAGTGTTTAACTACCCGTTTGCAGGCTGGAAAAGAGACAAGCAAGCAGAGAAATAGCACATCGCAAGCTCAGAGCCAACAATACAGACATCAAAAAAATTCAACGTTAACAATACATAGCAACACCCAGCCACCCGAGTACAAAAGCCTTCTTCAGCTTGCTGATTTAATTAAAGTAGTTTATTATCTTATGGTGGGAAAATTAAAAACCCAAGGCTGGTAGGATACCGGGAACCAGGAGCCAGCAGGGTTCTGGCAGAAGTATCCTGTGCCTGTGCCCCAGCAATGAAGGATTTACTGGTAACGTTTTCCCTATTTCATCCCTGAGCCAAATTTCTTTCCATAAATCTAAACCCTTAATCCTTATGATAGGCAGTTTACAGGAAACAGAAGAGCCTCAAAGGTTTTCTAAAGCATGAGAGTCTCAGAGCTCCTCTCCGCATCCATTCCCGTAGCCTCTGTAGTTCCTGCTGTGTTTGCACTTCTGCAGAGTCTATTTTCCCCATGCACACTGGGACCCAGGAGATGAGCTGCTGAGACACAGTCAGCAGGCGAATTAAAAGCACAATTAAGCAAATCTTCCTTTTCCTCCATCCTAATGGACCCACACCCACTTTGCAAGCCTTCCCCTGAGATAACATCTCCAAGCACCCAGGCCCTGACCGCCAGACACAAATAAAACAAAAGCTAAAAAGTGGCAACAAAACTGCTCAACAAGTCAAAATAATTTTAAAAGCAGCTATGTATAGTAGGATAGCTTTTTTTTCCTCTTCATGTTTCCTGCACTAGCTTCCTTATTATATTTCCAAATAGGAGTATGCCAGGGATCATATGCTTGGCCGCGCTGATGTGACTTTCGGTGCTGGAACGCAGCCCTGGAAAACAGCACGCAGAAGGACTCGATTTAAACATTGCCAGGTGATGCTGTCCACACAGGAGCATCGACCGCATTTCACATCACCGTGATCTTTACCAAATGATCTGTCAGCTTTTTAGAGCACTGCTCAATTCCTCCTCGTCAAACTAAAACAAAAAAAAACCCAGCACAGCTATCAGCAGGAGTGGGCTGGGACGAAGAGGTGAGGGAAACAGGCAGGCAGGGACCTCAATGAGCAGGGCACCATGTCGCAGTCCCCTGGAAAAAGAGAGCAGAGCAGGTTCATCAAAAGCATCGCAGAACAGGTCAGGCAAGAAGCCAGGCTGAGGACTTGAGCTTAAATGCATTTCTCAAGCAGCAGAGGTGGTTCCTCAGCAGCGTTTCTCCCAGCTGTTTCTCATCCCCAGCTTCTCCGCTCAGGCTGAGCCCGGGTTGCAGCTGAATCATGTCAGAGCTGCCCCCCCAGATCCAGGGAGGCAGGAGGGCTGTAGGACACCAGCAGCGTGAGAAAGTGTGAATATTATCATTAATTTTTTATCAGTTCCCGAGGCAGCCTGGAGGTGAGGATCCTTGCACACAGCTGGACCAGGCTGGCAACCTCGGCATTTAGCTGCATCTGCAGTGAGAGGGACGTGAGCCGTATGGAAAAGCATCACATGTGATTTTTTTTTTTTGGCACTTTATTCAGGCTGAGGCGGCGAAGTGGAAGCCGCAGAGCGGGAAGCGTCGCGATACAGCTGCTCCCTTCCCCGCCGGCTGGCAGAACCCTGGGACATGCCGGGTAAGGTGTTTGAAATGGCTCAACACGGCCCCTTTGCCAGGGAGCTTGCTTCAGATCTGCATTTTAACAGCATTTTATAGCATTTATTTGCAGACTGTCTTTAAAAAAAAAAACAAACTAAAAAATAACGTGGGTGTGCACACATGCACATACGAATTTGCCTGCGTAAGTGTGGTGTTATGGATGAGTACTCACTGCCTTACACACACCTGTATGTGCACACCCACCTGCCCAAATACACATCTTTGCACACACATATACGTGCCCTAAGGCCACCCTGAAGACTCCTTGGTCCTGCTAGTATGGGGAACCTCGGCTGTGAGAGGAGATGGGATAGCTGAGAAACAACACCACCCCACCGATCCGCTGCTGGGAACATGCTGGGTCACAGAGCAGAGTGAAAAATGGTTTTTTCCACCAAATAAATCTACCCCCCCCACCATCCCGACTCATGGAAACCTGGCCTAGGAGCAAGTATGTGTTGTGCCTGCAGAGAAAGCACCAGTCCCTACATTTACTCCCCGGAGCTCAAATCTTCTCCGCTGCTTCCAAATTCGCAGCCTCCACCCTGGGAAACTTGGGTCGTGGTTTGTTGGAAGTTTGTTGCAGCGTGGCCAGAGGCGGTCACGGGAAGCTTCGGTTCCTCGTTCTCAATGTGGTTTTGTGGGTTGAGTTGTGTTTTCTATATCCTCTCCCACCAGGCTTTAAAAGGTTTTATTCTATCACCACTGGCTTTTGCCAGCGGATGCGCTTGGATGCAAGACGTGGTCTTATTGACCAAGTTTCCTCTTTGGGAAGTTTTTTCTTGAAATTACACTGCAAGTGGGATACTCTCAGGACCAGCTGTGAAGCTGGAGGGCTGCTGCTGAGGAGAGGATCCAAGGTGCACCAAGAGGAGATGTAGCCCCGAGTTTCCTTCTAAAGAAAGCTCAAAAAGATTTACATTCTATGGTTTTCTTACTTTTTTTTTTTTGTTGGCCAATTTAAGTATCTTTTAAATGGAAAATCAGTGTCAAATTAAGTTCAAGGTGTACAAGACAAAAAGTTCTTTTTTTTTCAGATGGAAACTGCTTAAAGCCAAAATAATGTTTTTTATTATCTCCTTCTAGACTGTTTTACTGCTCTCGCTGAGTCCATGCCAGATAATTTAAATACCTCCTGGACACCCCTCAGCTAATTTGTTCCCTCTGACGTGCCCTAAGATCAGGTATAGGCACAGACTTCTGCGATTCCGATCCACCTGTCTCGTAAGACAAGGCCACACTTAATGAAGTAGTGAATAAAAGGCAAAGGGAAGTTTAAGCCGTCTTCCTCCAGGTATGTGGGTGACAACTGTAGGGAACAGGGCTGGAGATGGCATATTTAACAGTGACCGATGATGCCTCAATCTTCAGCTGAATGTGACACTGAAGCACAAGCTTTAGAATTGTTTAGATAAATCTAAACCCTGCTTAATTTAAATTTTTTAAACTAGTACAATTTATTGATTTATTTATAAAACTTGAATATTTTTACTTCTTCCTTCATCTGGTTAGAAATCCGCAAACTTAAGCACAAGCACTTTTAATATTGTATTTAAAGGGGATACAAGGTGGTGGTACAGACACAACTGCTGGTAAAAGGCTTTTTAATGGCAGAGGCTGGTTTGTGCTAATAGAAATACCTTGGGACCTAAATGCTCCTGAGTTACAGTCACCTGCGATAACTCCTCCTCGGTGGTCCACTCGTGCTCTCCTCAGCTGATGTAGGCCAGTTCATTTTTGGCTTCTGAACCACACAATAAATAAGCAAACAAATAAATGCCGCTTGAACCATCCAGCACAAGCTGCTTTCTTTGTTTTGCGAGTCATCCAGAATTAGAATGTAAAAATTAATTGAAAGCCAACAATGACAACAAAAAAAACCCCTCGAAACCAAAACCACGTTGTCACAGTATTTTCTTCTTTACATTTTATTGTATGCTGATTGTATTAGGCAGTGAGAACGGACCATCGTGGATCGTTCACTTCAGCAACACGAAGAAGGTGGTTCCAGTTGGAAAAACAAGTTAGAAAGCAGCTAAAATCTCCCTTCCTACCTGTCTCAGTAGGAAACGGCGCTGGTGGGACATTCCCTGTGACCCAAAGGGGACCCACAGCACGCCGGGCTGGCTGCAGGACCCGGGAGTCCCTGCCTAGGGGGGATTTCTGAAAGCTCACCCCACAGATCTGATCTGGTGAAACATCCTGCTGACCTCCCCCGCCTTGAGACACCGAATTCACGGCACACGTTGCCGTTTCGCCCAGCTCCCTGGGTTTCTCCCGAAGCGCTGTTGCTGCGGACTGGTTTCACCAGCCAAGAGAACACCAAATGCAATTTTACATGGAGGGAAAGCCCCAGGTTTCCTTTTTCCATGTGTAAAAATAAAAAAAAAAAAGTTGTTGATAGGATCACTCACCGAAGCGCCTGTTTTACATCACTATTCTCTGTCAGGGACAAGCCACTCGTCTACGGGCCAAGATGCCATCCATGTCTTTTAAGGGGAGAAAGGAAACAGCGTGGACTGGCAAAGCATCCTTTTGCTGCCATCCGCAGTCCTCTGAGCTCACCGAAACCTGTCACCTCAGACCCCTGTGGCAGCTCTCGCTGCTGCTATTCGCGTACCTTGCTCCGCAGTCACGTTACAGATCCGTCCGGTCATCTCTCTTAAGTTATTACACAGAAAAGGCAGGAGGCATGCTAAGTGCTACAACATCTAAAATAATTTAATTTACAAG